GGCGGAGGAGAAAATTGTGACCAGCCAGCAGTTGCGAGTATCTTACTCATGCAAAGAGCTCCAAGGTTGACAGTCCGCGCATCTGTGGTGATTTCGTTGTCGCTTCGCCTGTGCTACGCAACGTCGAGAAGCCCTGCTAGAAAACAGTCGGTGATGATTGCTGTGATCACAAATTTTGATATTTCCTCTATTTTTTGTCATTTTGTGCATTTTGAAGGATATGTCCTTGAAACCAACATGCTGGTTGTACACTGAAATTCTTCTAGGTTTCAATAAAGTAAAAAAAAAAATCAGATTCCCTAATCACTTCATTTGATGACTGCTCACACGTTGGTTTCCCTTCAAATTGGACATTCAGTGAAAACTGCGCTGTGTGAGAGAATGACGTTGCGCTGTTTACAATTTAAAAGAAAGTCAAAGACGTCTGAGGGTAGGTTTTTGTCGGGACAATTCCCACTCGCGCTTTCATTCACTGTTATTTATTTATTTTTTTTTTGGTAATGCTGTTTTGTTTATTTTGGTTGAGTGGAGTGGGTGGGTATGTGACGCGAATCCTTTGGCGGTTGCCTTGGCCACGTAAGGGAAAGGGGGAGGGGTGATCGGTGGGAGGCAATTACAAAAACTCAACTCGGCTCGTCTCATACACGAGCCGCAAAAAATTTTTTCTCCCGACGACAGGTGGGGCTGCTCCACGGCGGATGGCGGCAGTTTGAATGTGGAAGGTGAAAGTGGGGGTGGTATGTGGAGGATTTCGTTCGAGACAGGGAAGATGGGCTAGAATAGGTCTAAATAAGGAATAAATGGCGTGGATCCTTTACCGATTGACTAAATAACGTACATTTGAGGAGAGAGGGGAGCGGTGAAGAACGGAAAGGATGAGGAAGTGTACTTCTGGGACTTCTCTATTTATGAAACTGATGCTTTGGTAAAGCTGTTCCGCAAAAACCCGTCATCAGACTTTCCTATTTATGAAACTGATGCTTAGGTAAAGCTGAGAGCGAATAAGTTCCATAAAGTGGGCAAAAAAACAGAGTAGAATGGATGCCTAGGGATGAAGTCAGCCTCTACTCCTGTGAGATTTTGAAGACAAAAAAAAAGTATAACTGTTGTGCACAGTTGCAGGCTGCAAGAGGCAACACTGTGCAGTTGTCTGCAATTCTTGTGTAATCCAGTTGGACTTATTTGCCCTCAGCTTCACTTAAGCATAAGTTTCAGTAAATGAATTCCTTTTATTCACAATTTCAGGGTTTTTTTAAATTTACTTTTCTTTGTAGTGCCGTGTTGGTTTATTTTCCTCTTTACTGCTATCTGCAGTTCTTGCTTCGAACTCCTGATTAGCACCTTTCTTTCCCTCCTGCATCCTATCCCCAGTCCCTGCCTCCAGAGCTGCATCGGGGCACCCACCACCTCCAACCATTATCACCGTTTATTGCCCTGAACTCTTAACCAGCAGCTTCATTCCTCCTCACTGTCCTGGCCTCAATCACGTTCTCTGAGCTGTATCTGAACAACTACCAACCAACATCCTCCAACTACGTCCAGTCCCTCCACCCATCACCCTCCGGCGACGCGATCCAGCCGCCAAACACTGGGCAGCGCTACCCAGCGCGTCTGGCAAAGTTCCAGCGAGCGGCGCCGCGAAATAGTGTTGGCAGAGATGATAGAGCAAAGCGCCGTAGGTCACCAGCCGAACCGAGTTTTCGTAATTTCCCTTACAAGCTGCATTTATTGGTCTGTTAAGCCATTTCATCTTAGCACGCTAACAGCGCATTGTGTAGTTGCACTTAGATAGTTGTTAGTGGTTCTGGTCGGGCTCCTTTTTCTTGCATTTCTTCACTGTTCGGGGAAGTATGTAGTGTTTCTGTTTGCGCAGCTGCGCTGTTCCGTGCAGATCGAACGATCTCGGTGATCCGAGAAATTGTCCAGTGCTGTTCACTTTTACGAATAGATTGCTTCAGTCAAAAATAGCTAGGGTTTTTATGATGGCGTTGTTACTGGGATGCTTGCAGATGCCTGTTACCAGTTCTGCCAGACTCTTCGGCTCTGAGCTGCATACCTACCAATTAGTGCTGAACGGTTTTTCGCTGTTTGCGCGCAGCCTGTTCGGAGGCGACCCGAGTGTTCTCTTTCTCGCAGTTATAACATTCGCGGATAAACGAAGTCGCCAGATGTCAGCAACGCGAACAACCTGCCTGCCCCATCGTTACTTCACTTTCTCGTGTATTCGCCACACTGCCCTCAGTGCCGCTCGTTTGACGGAGTGCGGTCAAGTAAAACAAACTTGGTGTGATTCTCCGTTGCTTGTTTGGCCACGAAGATTCACACCGGGCATCATTTGCTGCCTTGCTTTCCGGTATCATCGAAAGAGGAAGC